TTGGTTCGGCCACATCTGGAGTACGCGGTCCAGTTTTGGTCGCAGGTACTGAGAAGGGATGTCCTTGAACTGGAGAGAGTCCAGCGGAGGGCAACCAAACTAGTTAGGGGAATGGAGGACAAAAGCTATGAGACGAGGAGGAGGGGATGGAGGACCAGAGCTATGAGACAAGACTTCTGACCTTAAACATGTTTACGCTGGAATTAAGGAGATTAAGGGGGATATGATTTTCATGTACAAGATGTTCAATGGTAACAGCAACATTGGCAACAAACTGTTTGAGATTAACTCCATTACAAAGACTAGAGGCCGCCACCTAAAGTTGGTGGAGAAAAAATTCCAGCACAATGGGCGAAGAGGGTTCTTTACAGTCAGAGCGGTTAAGGTCTGGAACTCACTGCCATCGGCCGTCATCTCAGCCAAGAGTGTAGATTTGTTCAAGAAACGTTTGGACAATTTCCTGAGGGACCGTAATATCCAGGGATACCAGTATCCCTAAGAATGAGACGATGCGCGGACCTATATGGGTTGGACTTGATGGACTAATGTCTTTATTCAACCCCAAATACTATGCAACTATGTAACTATGTGTATGCCCCAGGCTTGGAGCTTTGCTAGTTTAGGACCCCCAGTATACAGAGGCGCCTTGATGGGTCCGTTTGGTTTAATACACAGTGCTTAAGTAGTGCTGGCTAGTTCTGATTGAGATTTATACCATGCCACCGTTGGCTGTGCCCCCTACTACACTGACATTTGGCAGGAGTGTGGGACAATATGTTTAAATTGCTGACTGTGTCCTTTGCTGGGGAGACTCGCCCTCTCTGCTTGTCCTGGTGACCAATGTCTCTGGGGCTGAAAGTGATGAGAAAATCCTACAATTTGAGTTGTCAGCAGAACAGGAATAGAGGAGAAATGTTCCAATCGGGATACTTGTTCTGGTGACAATTGTCCGAGAGGGAGTTTGCCTGACTTTGGTGTTAACCATTATCTTCCCCGGAACGAAAAAGGAAAACAGATTTGGTTTTAGAAACACTTAAAAAAAACACGTACACATTTAAAAAAAGGAACCCTTTCCTCAATGCATGGATCTAGGTCCCTCCTTCAGCAAGTCCTTGCTCACTTCCTCCAGCACTCTCTACAGCCTGGGAAATAAAACTTTAGTGTCTGATTGGCCTCACCTGGATGAATACATCCTATAGATTTGATTGGGAAGCTGCTCCTGCTTTACACGTACATGTCATTCAAATCTTGAAGCTTTAGAAGAAAGCGAACAGGAGGAGGCAGCCCGTCACTAGTTTTTTACTGGCAAGACTGCAAACAGAGTGGGAGGTCTCAGCCATTAAGGGAGGTCCTGCTGTGAATCTACTGGAGGGGAAAGCCAGATTAATGTTGTGGGGGGGCAAGGGGGACTGCCAGATGACCACACTCGGAGCGCCGCCCACCGGAGCAGCAGTGATGCGACGCTCTGTGAGGTAAGTAAGAAGAAAAAACCCGCAGCGGCGAGTCAGCTCTGGTCCGGCGAGAGGAGCTCCAGGTGTGGTTCTAATTTAGCTGGCCGGCACCTCTGAGCCACCTAAATTAGAACCCCCACCTGGAGCTCCTCCCACTGGACCAGCGTTGACTCGTCGCTGCTCTTTCCGGTGTTCCAACACCGGCACAGTAAGTGAGGGCAGATTGGGCAGGTTGGCGCACTATTAAGCAGAGTATAATTGTAAATGTATTGTCTGCACTGCATTAGCAGTATATACTCTATATGTACTACATATAGAGTACATATAGAGTACATATAGAGTACACACTGCTAATACAGTGCAGACAATACATTTACAATTATACTCTGCTAATATGAATGGATTAAATGATCCCTAGTACAGGGCTACATACAGATCATTTAATCCATTCATGTTAGCAGAGGATAATTGTATATGTAGTGTACATAATGATCAGTGTGAGGTACAAACAAATTTCAGTCCTGAGATGGTTAAATACTTCAGTGTAATGGAAAAGATCTGAAATTGTTTACACGGTTTGCTATGTACTTTAGATGTTGGCATTGAGATGTAATCCATCACTTGTATGCAAAGTCAATCATGAAATGGATCTCTGGAGGCTTTTTATATCATTCAAACTCTAAATACATCAGTCTGTCGGCTTTCACTGGACGTGTACCATCATCTCTGTCCGGATCAGACACCGAACCTAAACATGACAGATCCGTACTCCATCTCTAGTCTGATCTCTGTGCTCTTAGGACTCGGCTTGGCAATACCTTTTAACACTTGTATTGTGATTGTTCACCTGAAAGTCATCAGAAAGAAAGGGAAGTTGAGTCCCTCCGATGTGATCTTCATGGCTAAGGGAATGGTGAATGTTCTCCTCCAGGGTTTTATGACTGTACAGGGAATGCTCTTTGTCTTTTCTCGGGAAGTTGTATACACTAGAGATGTATATTCGTTTCTGAGTGCACCAGTTTACTCTCTGACATATTTCAGCTTCTGGATGACCTTCTGGCTTTCTGCTCACTACTGTACCAACATCACCCACCTCAGCTATGGGTTCTTCATCTGGTTAAAGGGAATTGTGTCCAATTTCCTGAGTCAAATCCTGTTCCTGACAGCTCTTGCGATGTTCATTGTGAATGCCCCGTGTTCCTTTTATTTGCAGGAAGAAAGTGGTCTCCAGTCTTCCGAGAACATTACAAAAGCTCCTATTAAAACTCTCCGTGTCATCTTTCCCTGTCTAGTGCCTGTGACCTTCCTAGGCTGCTTTCTGCCATTCTGCCTTAGTCTTCTGTGTCTTCTTCTCACCTTCTCCTTCCTGGTCAGACACGTCTGGAGGGTGAAGAATAATGACTCCGGATCCTCACGGCCAAATCTTCAGGCTCACGTCACTGCGCTGAGGACAATCTTCTTCTTACTCCTCATTTTCGTTTTATTCTGCATATCTCAAGCACTTAGGTTTATTAGCAAATCCGGACAGTTAGGATACTCGATATCTATGGTGGGTTGGAATTTACGTATATTATCTCCATCGCTTGAGACTGCTGTCATCTTCCAGGCCAGCAACAAGCTGAAAAGCATCATTCTGAGAAGATTCTGGACCAGAAGATGGAGGAACACAGAGACCTAAAATGTAGAAGAGCTTAAACTTCCAGTTCTAGATATTCTCTATAATCTTTAAAAATTCTTAGTAGATCATCTTAAAGTGCTTCTAATGGTAAAATGTTTTGTTTTTTTGTTTTAGATGAAGTGAGGTAGGGTTATATCCCCTGTCATGTTTTACTTGCTGTCTCTGTCCTCCCTGGGTAGATTCACCCTCTCTGGCTACCAATGAAAGTGATGGGAAATTTCTAAAGATAGAGTTGTCGGCAGAACAAGGATAGAGGGGAAATCTTCCAATGGTGACACATTGTCAGGGATCTGAACACCTCCAGGTGGCGCTGGAGGTGATCCGGCAGTTCCAGTGCTCCCTTGCAGGTGTCTCCAGGCAGCCAGTGACACATTGTCAGGGACCTGAGCGGCTCCAGGTGGTGCTGGGGAGGGATCCGGCAGTTCCAGTGCTCCCCTGCAGGTGTCTCCAGTCAGCCAGTGGCTGTCAGGGACCTGAGCGGCTCCAGGTGGCGCTGGAGGTGATCTGGCAGTTCCAGTGCTCCCTTGCAGGTGTCTTCAGGCAGCCAGTGACTGTCAGGGACCTGAGCGGCTCCAGGTGGCGCTGGAGCAGATCCGGCAGTTGCAGTGCTCCCCTGCAGGTGTCTCCAGGCAGCCAGTAACTGTCAGGGACCTGAGCGCCTCCAGGTGGCACTGCGACTCTGGAACCTGGTCCTGCACTTCCAGGGCTCACCTGCAGGTGTCAGCAATTAAGCACCACCTGATGCTGATCTGGGAGGGTATTTAATCCCTCCCTGCAGTGAGCTTGGTGCCACAGTATTGTCGCCATTACCTGAGTCCTAAATCCTGAGTTCTGTTTCCGGTGTCCTGGTGCCTCCTTGTACCCTGACCATTGGTCAGTGGCTCCCCTTGTGTTGCCTTGCTCCCCAGGTTCCCTTGCCCTGTTACCTTTTGTGTATAATTATGTTGTTTTGCATTTTAGTTGGCTATTATTAGTTGTGTGTGGTTACTTGTTTTCAGTGTGCGTAATAAACTATATACTCATAAGGATTGTCTGGAGTGGTCACACATTTGGTCCTCCCGCATAGATTCCTGTATGCGGTGTGGGGACACCCGTGCACGGTATCCTGACACACATCTTCTGGGGTTTTATCCCTTTGGAGAAATTTCCTCTACTTTTATGTTTTGTATAGAGGACAGAAAGTGAGGAAACTGATATATTGAGGAAAAATAACCAATTTTAACCATTCTCATTCACAGCCAAAACATTTTGGCTGTAGATGTATGTGTATACATTCAATTCAAAAGACACCTAGATCCCCTCTCTAGCCTCCTCAATGCATAGATCTGGGTCCCTCCTTACTTACCTCCTCCCATGCTGTCTGCATCCTGGCCAGTAAATATTTCATACTCTGTTCTGATCAAATATTCCCTTTGGAATTGAATGTGATGCTCATCCTGCTGCTGTACAGATACATCCTATTGAAGTCTATGGGAAGTTAGTTTGCAGGTGAAGGTAGCCCGTCATTACGTATGTGGATGTAAACCTCAATTATTCAGATGCAAAGAGCTCCCCCTTGTCATTCGTAAGGGCCTTAACTTTGCACCAGTATCACCATATGGACTGTTTATGTATTTATACATGGTGATCATATCCCCCCCCC